TTGAGGTGAAATTTTAACTACCTATTTGGACAGTATTTGAATATTCAGTTATTCATTTGTAAAAAAAATGGGTAATTTTGTGGGCAATAAATTGTGTTGTTCATTATTTTCCAATTATCATTTCAAATTGAATGTTTAAATTTTATTGTTTATCTTTATATGTATATACAGAAAATATTTTGACTTTGGGCAAAATCTCCTACACTTTTTCATCATTAGGAGTAGCCAAGTGTTGCCAGGTGTACGAAAGGTACAATAGCTCAGAATCTGTAGAAAAGGTTCAGTACTTACAAACAAAAGGATTATTTTGAATGTACAATCAAAGAAGATTTGTATACATATTAGCAGTATGTTATAAGTTCTGTAAACTGAAAATAGTAGTAAATGAATCATCATAGTGACATTAAGAAAAAAATAAAAATATTGTATGCTGTGAAACAACATCTTGATAGATAAACTGCTACAGTTTTATGGAGTTTGATTTATAAATAATATAAAAGAAATGCAATGTAAACAGTAATTGATATTATATACAAGAAGCTTAAGAAGTTTAAAAACCTTAGAATCAAAAAGTGTTGTACAGTGATAACTACAAGAGCATCTTCCATGTATGAAACCATGTAGAGAAAAGGTAAGATAACATTAATATTTCAGGATAAAACACTAATTATTAACTAAAAATTGTTATCAATTAAAAAAATATATATTTTCAATATATTTTTGTTAAAGCAAAATAACATATCTGAGTCAACTTTTTTGAAATCATCATACCACACATTAATATTTTATATGGTTTTTCAAATTAATTTTTTTAGTACTTAAGTCAATAAATTTTAGCTATAAAATAACAAATCTCTTGATACCTTCCTGGATGTCTCAATTTTAACTAGTAGTTAACATTTTGTTATAATTGACAGTCATTTCGTTATTACATTTCTTAAAATAATCATTAATTTTTGGTTATCTAATAACTCCCAATACATTACTATTCAAAGTTCAACTTCTATAACAATTTTAATTTCTTCCTATAAACCATTACTGTCTAATGAAAATTGAAACTTCTTAGAACTTAAACAATGTGGTAGAGCTTGCATGTTGTTACATATTTTTTGATTTTCATGCAGTGATTTATAGACCACAAAATGTCTAAATGTTGGACCATTGATATTTTTACATCTTCAGCTACAGTAACTGCTGTAACATTCACATTCATTTGGAGAATTTGTTAGAAATTTTTAAAAGAGACTTAATAAAATGGCTTAAATATACTACTGTTAAAATTCTAATGAATTATTTAAAATAAAGCAATATTTTCAATTTCTGATTGTGTCATATTTTGAATTATAATACTGTAGTAAATTTAAGATTGCATACATATTCATTTAGTTCTTTGAAATATCAAAACTTTTTGATAAGTATATAGAACACCTAATAATTATATCAAATTTTGATCAAAATAGAATTGTGTTGCTGAGACCCTAATTTTAACTTTCTAAGTTTTATATTCTAATCAGTTAATCCTCTAGAATACAAGAAAACTGTTATAAATATTAATATTAGTTAAATTTAATTGAGAAAGTTACCAGCACTGGCTGTGCTCATGTAATTCGATTTATTTTTGCTATCAAATTTTCTTATCCAAATAGGATATATATTTCAAACCCTTACAAAATAAAAAACTAAACTAATACGGCAAACCATATAATCTTAAGGACTTCTGACATAACTTATTGGATATTTTCCATTTTAAATACTTAATATTTACTTGAGGCAAGATCGACAGAAGAATAGGAGATGATTGAAGAAGTATGTCATGGCTTAGAAACCTGAGGGAATGGATTAACGGATCCTTAGCATCCTGTTTCTAAGCTGCTGTCAACAAAATTAGTACAGCCAATTTGAGATGCCTGATAATAGGGCTTAGCACAGAAAGAAGAAAATGTTTGAATAATATATGTAAATAGGAAACCTAACCAAAACTTTTATACAAAAAGTGATCCTGTCGAAAAATTACATTTTCTGTACTAGAGCTTTCCAATTACTGCTAAGGAAACTATCATGGGTGGATCTTTAAGATATTGCAGATATTAAAATTGATAAATAATTTACTGACATATTTGCGAAAAACAGTCCTCTATGCATTTTTTATAAATGTTACTTTTGCAATAATGACTTTAAGTGACATATGTCACACCAATTATAATGCCATTATTGGTAAATTTAACTGTCAACCAAATTGGTTTAATAGTTTATAAGTTATGTTAATTGTTGATTTTTTTCAACTTAAAATTGGAAATTTAAGCTTTTTAAACATATCCGAAAGCATTCACTCAGATCTGATTTTACACACTTAAATTGACAGCTTTCCTGAAAAGTAAATTAGTAGATTCTAAGTCAGAAAGTGTAATTTTTCAACTTAGCTGTTGTTTATAAAAAAACAATGGTAGCCTAATCAAATAAGATTGCATATTTACCATTTACTAGATATTACCTAGTCATAATAGGAGCATTAAAGGAAATTTTCAAAGATTTTGAGGGATGCAGCATTGAGGGAAAATCAGAGTAAAACCAAATACATCAAGGGTAAGATGAAACAATAAAAAGCTCATCCAAACAAGTCTTCACAGCTTTGAAAAGGTAGCAGAGTTCACACATTTAGGATCACTAGCAATTGAAAGTAAAATGTAAGTGCAGAGATAAAGAACGTAATAAGAAAAGGAAACAGCATATTATAAAATTAAAAAAACTACTAACTTCTAAAATACTAGGGCAGAAATTGAGGATGTAATTGTAAAAAATACTAATAAGACCCATTGTGACAAATGGTTGTGAAACATGGATTCTGCTAAAGAAAGATGAAGATGCCCTGAAAAGATTTGAAAGGAAATTTTACTCAGAATGATTTTTGGGCCTGTCCGGGAGCATATGTGCTACAGAATCAGCATAAACAAGTTAATCAAACACCTGAGTGTAGATAGTGTGTTAATCAAACACCTGATGTAGTAAAGTGTTAAATCTCATAGAATTCGTTGGCTTGGCCTCAATTTGGACACAAAAAATTTAATCAAATAGAGGTTAGCCAAAAATAGACCTCAATGCTGCCCTAGAAAGTCTTGATTAGAGAATGTTGGGAATATTCTAATATTCTCTATGGGAGTCCAGAATTGGAGAAAATTTGTCAACAGCAGAAGGAAATGGAATGCAATAATTACTGAATGGGCTAAACCCTAGGGGGTTGCAGCACAGAGAGAAGATTTACTTGACTAGGATTACAAATCAACAGATATCTGTATTTTTTTTGGAAACATGAAGTTTTTGTTCACAGCCTGGGCTAATATGTTAGACTAGTGATTAGGACATTACTTAGCATGTGTTTTACATTAAACTACAATTCGAGTAAGTAGAGAAAACATATTGATTGGGTGCTCCCAAGGGGTTATTGATAAACATACATATTAATAACATACAGTTATATTAATTATTTTATTGTCTATGATACTGTATTCCTTTAGAAAGGTTAACTCATATCTTAATTTTCTAGAATAACAAAATATATGCAACTTTACCTATAACGAGAATAAGAATTAGTTTGATACTTAAAAATTCATCAGAGAGAATTACATTAAAATTTTCGGAGATAGTTATATGCTAATTTAGGCATCAAATATATAGATTTAAAATGGTTTCATAAAGTGCTCAGAAATTATTTAAAACAATTATTTTTGTATGTACATTTGATTTTATAAACATATTCATTGATGTTGCAAAATATTTTTAATTATTAATATTTAAAAATTTTAAAGTATATACTTAGGTATTAGAATTAAATTCCTGACTCCAATATTTTTAAGTATAAGTGGTCTTGAAGGCAGATTTAATTTTTATTAGGATAACATATTATTGATTAGGATTTTAAAAACAAAACATGACAGTTACTGAGTACTTCAGCCAAGAACTTTTTTAAATTGAATTTTCAATAAAAATATATGACTTTGTTTTTAGGGCTCAACAGTAAGGAATTTATAACAGAGTTGTTGTCAGCCTTAGAATTTATAGCATAAAAGGAAAACTCTTCAATTGCTTATTACCTAATTTTTTAGCAAGATGCTAATTTGAATACCTTAGAAACAGCTCAATGTTTCTTTTTTAACTGGAATTTGAACTGAGATATTTTAATCACCTATTATATACTACACTACATGAGGAACATGTTAGGTATTTTAGTACCTGCATATTTTAATCAAAATAACTTGTAAAAATAATAAAATGTAATAATTTTGTTAATTTTTCTTATAATCAATTATAGATTTAATACAGAAAATGGTGTGACAGCTGCAACATGCCAAGAATTTGATCATTTATGCAGTAATAGGTACTGACTATTGAGCAAGAATGAACCATCTGTTCAATATGTAGGTATGCTGTAATAAAAATCAATCAACAAATGAATGTGAAGTTACAAATCCCAACCAAAAATTCTAGTGAAGGTAATCCTTGAGCAGGTATGAATACCAACAAGCAAATCAGCCACTGTATAAACACATGAAAATAAATAGGTACTGTTTTTTTCGGGATCCACGTCCAGGGGTGATCAGCTCATCTTCCTGTGCAGTTGAAGCTGGAAGTAACATACTTTCATGATCATCTCGTTTCCTAAATTTATAACATTACATATTAAATTTCCCTAATTCCTAATACTGCAGTGGGTAAACTAGGGCAAGGCTATCACGGGAGGGAATGAGTTAGAAACATATAGTATGTAGGTTACCCGTTGAACAGAGAGAGATAACCTTAGTGTTAGTATTGATTTGAACATCCTGCATAATTATGCAATTTTTAATAGATTCTCTGCTACCGAAAATACTGTACTTTTTGCCCAACTGCTATCTAGCGACAGCTAGAACGGCTTTTAAGTAATTATTATACGATTTTTAGAAAATACATTTTATACAAGTTACCACCTATCCTCCATCTTTTATGTTTTCTTCGTATGTACTTACCTTTCTTGTCGGACATTATTTTGCTAAGGTTACTTTGACGATATTAACACAAAATAACGACAAACACTTGGCTAGATTCTGAAAACAATTGCACTACACCTTGCAAGAAAACCTCACAAACAAAAGTCAAAAAAATTCTGATAAATTAGAGAAAGAAAGCACATCGACCTTACGAATGACACTGCGAAGGATCATGGAACGGACAAAGATGGAACTATACGGTATGGCATGAAAATCATTTCTTCCTTTTGTGCGCCAACAGGATTGCGTGAACTCAATTCTAGGTTTAATTTGCAAAAGACTCACATTGTTGCCAAAAGTCTATATTTTTCTTTAAATTTCCTTACAAATATATGATAAATGATTTTGATAAAACACAAAAATCGTGTTTATTTACACTAGCACTATATGGTGAGTTACATGTGTTATAGTATATGTTATTTTTTATTTGTTACATTTTTTATCAAAAAATCCAATCAAACACAGCGGCGGCTCGTGGCCTAAAAAAGTGGGAAAGACGAAGAAACCTTGCTGGAGCCAACAGGAGCTTTGGTACCTACGTCGCGCCCAAATCTCATTAAAAATTCGTTAAAAAAATGTAGAGTTTGGGGCTCTAATAACTTGAAAACAGTTTTTTAGGGCACTTATACTAGATACGATTTCCGACCTTCGACATTTTATTGATAGTTTTTTGGGGATTAAAACACCACGCCTGGTAAAACGGGTTTGTTGAGTTTCGATTCCGCTGCCCACTCTGGGTCAGATGCTGATTGCAGCCGATCACTCTGGATCAGACACTGCAGTGTTTACTGGTTTGGTCCGCCCCGAGTATTTCATTTCCGCGGTACCACCTATATCTAGGAGGCATTCCCCTATCCGCCACCTGGGGAGGCGCCCGATGGAGGTAGAACAACCTCTCACGGGATGACAGAGAGAGAGAGAGGGAGAGAGAGAGAGGGAGAGAGAGAGAGGGAGAGAGAGAGAGGGAGAGAGAGAGAGGGAGGGAGAGGGAGAGAGAGAGAGAGAGAGAGAGTGAGAGAGAGAGGGGACTAAAGTGACGGATGTCATAAAAAAATTGCACAAGCCAAATGGAGATGGGCTGGACATGAAGCACGTTTAAATGATCATAGGTGGGCCAAAAGACTCATAGAAGGGAGACCTAGAGAAGATAAAAGACACCGAGGTAGACCACCAAAAATATGGATGGATGACTTGAGAAAAACAGTGGGAAATTCTATACAGATGGCACAAGATAGAGAACAATGGAAGAATATGAAGGAGACCTATATCCAAAATTGGATGCAAGCGGTAAGGTTCTTGGTCTAAGGTGCTTTATTTGTTCTGTTCGTATATCGTCTAGGCCAGCCGCTTTATTAACTTTCATTTGGTGGATCGTACCTCTCATCTCCTCCAGACAAAAGGAGGTACCTAGAACATTCTCTTCTTCGTCGATATTTCGTTGTACTCTCACTTTGTTATTCCTTGATGTCGTCTTACTATTTGTTAGGAGACGATGGGCTATCTAATCGGGTGTGACTTTTGTCAGAGTGGGTGCCGGGGCAGTGGGATTGTTGCCAAGGTTCCGACTTAATTTACAAGCGCATCTGCTGTTTTGTTTCATATCTAGACTCGTAACCAGCTTACACCACCTGTCCGTTCTGTTGGCGGATATCGCATGTAATACTTCCTCCCCAGCCTATATTGTTGCGTCCGAAAAGGGATCTTCTTCATATAGCTGCTCGTATCTTTTAAGTAGAGGTTTAGATTCTTCATTTAGCCCCGCTATGTATTCGGTTCGGCAACCTCTTGGAATATATTTTCGTGATATTTGTTTTACGATTTGTACAATTGTGTACTTCCAACAATTTTTGTCAGCTGGTCTCCAATCCTGACAAATATATTCTTTGGGTTGTAACCTCCTCGCCATCTTCCGCTATTGAAAGACGCTGTTTTGGATCATGAATAAGTTTGAGGTTCATGTTTTCGTCCCAATTTTCTAGTTCTTCACCATTGGAGTCTGTTTTGTTATACTCCACGCGATACTGTGACAGTTGAAGTCACTCAGTATACATTTTATTTGCTGTGATTGAAAGTTATCCGGTTCCTCAAAAACAAAGTCAGCGTTTGGCGGTTTGAAGGTGGACGTTACCGTACACGACTTTAATCCACTGTAAGGATCTCGATCTCATCTCGATATGTTAAAGATGTGGAAACTATGTCGGTATCTGATCTGACGAAGACTGCGCTACCATACTGGTCGTGTGGTCTCTCCAGTACAAGTCTCATACCTCGAATCCTTGGTCTGCGGCTTGCAGTACCTCTTCGGGTTTCTTGAATCGGTAGGACATCAACACCGTGTTCTCTGCACATATTAGACAATAGATTTTCTTTATGTGCTGATAGTACTTCAATATTAATGAAAGTAGTAATCAAAAATGGCCTTGACAAAGACTGTTTTGGTTGCGTTTGCATCTGTGTTGGTGCACCGGTGGTGAAAGGATTAGCCGCCATTACTCGTTTCCAGGGGAACACCCGATTGCTTTCACATATGATCGCAATCTACGTTTAGGCTCCTTTCCTGTTCCCTAAGTCTTAACATAAAATCAATAATTTTTCCGTTACAATAACTATTTTAAAACACCGCCAACTTTTTTGCCCCAATATTCCTCGTCTCAAAATAAAAAACCAGTCGAAAAGTTTTGTTTTTATAAGTTTTTACAAGTACGGTCATGAAACGTTCTTCCACGTATCTGACCCGCTTTGCAAATTCGTTAGAAAACAAAAGTGGGTCAGTAAGTTTTATTGTTTTATATTTAAAATATATTTGTAATGTTTTTCAAATCAGTAATGTCAAAAAAGTAATTGTAAAAATATTAAGCAACTTAAGAAAAATTAACATGTAAACAAAACAAAAATTTAGTTTTACAGGATATAATTTATAAGTATAATACATAAATATTTAAGTTAACTATCTTTTCATAACCTTTTCTACTACTAATAATAAGAGAAAAGTAAAATTTTGCAAAATAAACATTTATTATAAATTGTTTAAACATATTATTCAGTTAAATAAACAATTCACAAATTAACTAATTGAATTTTTATAATATATGTAACTAGTTACCTCAATTTAAAAAAAGACATCAATTTTCAAATTTCAGTTTTTGAAATAGTAAAATCGAGAAATAAAAAAATACTGCCCACTCGGTTTGCAAGGATAATAGGACCTTGTTTATTTCTGTTCGAATTCGTTTTTTTTTTTTTAATTCTTCAAAATTTTCTGGTTTCGTCTTGTAAACCACATTCTTCAAATGAGCGTACATAAAATGATCAAAAGGATTGAAATCTGGCTGACCTCGTTGACCAATTCACCTGTTCGGAAAAATCTAGTCTAGGTACCTTCTAATATCCACAGCATAATGCGGAGACGCACCATTGTGTTGAAACCATAAACTTTCATCAAAACCTCCAGGATTAATTTTACTGGGAAATAAATTAATAAAAGTAGGTACGAGATACCCAGTTAAAAACCGAAGTTGTGTAGCTACCTTCAAAAAATAAGGTCCGACGATTATACTTCTTACAGTGTCAGATACGTTTACCTTTTGCGGGTATTGTGTATAATGCTCACGCATCCAGTTGGGTTGTTCTTGTGCCTAGTATCTATAATGTTTTGCTTCGCAAAATTGTATTCTTTTATCTGGATCATCCCCTTTTAATTCCTGTACAAGTGTGCATGTAAGGGGATGCCATTTTTCAAGTTTTGTAAATTATTGTATCGTTGTTTTGCTACCATTGGGATCACGACTAATGTCACAGCCATTTGATAATTATTTTGTTTGTATACCGCTTTAAATGCTGAAGTTAAAAATCTCTTATTAAAATTCAAAGAAAGCTTTAGCTATAAAACCTTTTTAAATCATAACAATCTTTCCACTTGTCGGCAATAATTCTTATATTTTATCGCCATCACTTCAATTTATTTTCTTTATTTTAACGCGTAAGTGGTGTAATAAAAATTGATGAGGTTCTTACAGTTGACTAAGACTCTGAGGGCTGAACGGTCGATGTTTCCGTGGCGTAAGATTTTTTAATTTTGTCTATGTATAGATTGATGCTTATAAGTGATAATTTTTGTTACATCATTTTTTAAAAGCACGCGATATGTTTTGTTGGGAACTGGCAAATATAGATTTTCAATAATTTTGAAGTTTAATTTTGTAACATACGAACCGTGTATTTTATACGCAAATTCGGGTAGAATTGCGTTGGTACACACTTGACATATTTGGCGACCGTGACAGGACTGTTTCCATAAAATTAATCGTGGTTGTATACGAGGTGTAACAAAATTGAATTGACGATCACCGGACAAACTTTATCGCGTTTCGCCTGTAGCTTTCGGTAAACGTGTGTGGTTTTGACCAAGTTTGCAGAGAAAAATGGATCAAAAGAAGAAACATCGCAAAGTGCTCCGTGGCACCTTCACGAGGACGGCGAATGAAATGGATAAGCTTTTGTCGGCGCCGGAGGGTGAGATACGATCAATTAAAGTTTCCTTGGATCTATTACGCCAAAAAATTGAAGACCTAAGGAAAAGTGATGAAGAAATCTACGGTCTATTACTAAGTGAAGACGCTAGTGAAGAAGACCTTTTAGCAGAAATTGAGTGTAGTGACAACTATAGCAAGAAGTTTTTGGATCTCAGTATGCAGTTCGAAGACCGTATGCAGTCAATAGTGACAGGTGCAGTGGAAGGTGAGGTAGCTTCTAGGATATCTGATGATAGGAGTAGTTTAGACAGCAGACGCGGTAAGCGAAAATTTAAATTACCTACATTAGAGTTCAAAAAATTCGACGGGAATATTAAAAACTGGTTGCCTTTTTGGTCACAATTTCAAAAAGTTCATCATGATCCTGACATAGATCCGAACGACAAGGTCGAATATTTGATTCAAGCTACTATACCGGGTAGTAGAGCTAGGCAACTAGTGGATAGTTTTCCCGCCACTGGAAGTAATTATGATGCTATGATTGACTGTCTTATTTCGCGTTTCGGTCGGGACAACTTGCAGATCGAAGTTTATGTACGGGAATTACTTAAATTGGTAATAAATAATACTGCGTCTGGCAATAAATTAGATCTATCCTTGTTATACGACAAATTAGAGACTCAGTTG